GCCCCATTGGCGGGCGTCGGCAGATGGGCGGGTCTAGGGACGGGACTTCCGGATGGGGCGGGGCCGTCGGCCTCCACCCCGCTGGCGCGGGAATGAGCGACGGAGGTGGGAGCCGGCGGCGAGGCTGCGCAGCGTACGCAGAGAGGCCCCGAGTGCGCGGGGAAAGGGTGGTTTTTGTGAAGCGAGGAGGTATTTCTGTGAAGAGCGGCGGGCAGGGTGCACAGCACACAGCCCTGCGGGGCGGAGCACGGGCGCTACCTCAGGGTGTTCCCGCGCTGTGCCAGGCCTCCGCCATTTCCCGTCACCCGCCGGGTTGGAGCTGTTGGCTGCTCTGACTGAGGCAGAGCTCCTGTGTGCGTACCAGCCATCGTCCCCACGGGCCCGGCAGAATTTCACAGCTTCTTCTCCAAAGCCAGCTCCTTCCCTGTGCTTTAAAATGGAGATGTGCCCTACCCTGTGCCAGTGTTGGAGCCCTGGGGCTGGCGGGTGAGCCCAGGGCCCAGCGCCTGCTGTGCCACACCACCAGAGGCCATGGCCACAAACCACTCTGCAGTCAGGGGTGCTTGTCCTTAAACCAAAGTCAGCCCTAACATTGTTGTACTTACTACACTGCCTAAGTACCACATCACCAGCCTCTGAGTGGAGTGGAGAGCAAAGGTGCTTGTATCTAGCACATAACCTCTTACTCAGGCCTTGTGTGCAAGGCTGAATTTAATTCACAGTAAACTGAATGTTATATTCTAGTCATCGGAAGCAAGGCTAACACAACTGATTTTTCAACAAGGCCTGCAAGATAGTGTAGCTGAACAGTATAGGGCAAAAATAAGTTCTTATTTGAAAAAATAATAAAATCTGTCAGAGAGCATAAATGTTAACACTTCAGCAAAGGCTACATCATTTATATGAAAACATTTCTGCTCTGATGTCTCAGATGATAGAGGCACTGTCAGAGGTAATGAGATCATGACTACATGGGTAATTAACTTGTAGTTTCTTACCAAAACAGCAAACAATTGCACTGCTAGAAATGTAAGGAAATGACACCAAGTTTAATTGGGAAAGGAGGAAAAAACAACTGTGTCAAGATCCAATAGATGCTTTCCCTTGCGCTGTCCCCTGAGCTCAAGACATATATAATGCAATGTTCTCAGACGTGCTTAAAAACCTCCTGCCAGCACGTCTGGCTCCATAGCGTATTTGCAAGCAGAAGATTATGTATGCTGGACAGCTGTGGGTTTGAGAGGATACATAAAGCTCAAGTGTTACAGTAATCACAACAATCCGTGGTAATATACAGCCTGGGTTTTATCAGGTGAACCATTACTGCAGACAGAAGGGATTTGTTCCCATCAGAACCCTCCCTAGCTGGGCCATTGGTCGCTTTCTTCACTATAATCAGCTCTCCAGAGGTCTAGTGTATACATACAGGGTGAGGATGTGTGTATATGTATAATGAGTGTGTGTGCAACATTATGAGTTCTGATAATTTTAATATTTTTTTCTAGAATCTGTTCTTGATTACAACTCAACCCCATAGTAAAGCTTCTGCTAATTTAATAGAGAGGACTTTGCCATGAAATGTTTGCCAAGAACAAACCAGGTACTTCCATTTATGCTGTAAGCATGCGTTCAGTCATTTGAGCTAGTTTTTGCAGAATGCATGTTCTGTGTATCCCACACACGATACTCTGCCTAACACCACAGCCTTGAAAATCACACCTAGAGTCAATGACTGCACTCTGCAGGGTTTATTAATACCACCTCAGAAAGTGAGAGGGTGCTCTGGCTTTAGCGAGGGCTTTCTATAATTGTTCCATGTACTTCAGATCCAGGAATCAACCTTCAATGTCTTTTCTCAGTGTATGACATTCATCCTGGTGACACTCAAGTAGCACACTGCTGAAGGACAGCCGGGGCACATCTATATTTGTTCCATTGCTCATTGCTGGCATGTCCCTATCTGAGCAAAGAGGCGGTCTAGGGTTACAGCAATAAGTCTTCCAACTGCAGTCATAGGAAGGTGGCAGGGAATTGCTTTTGTGTGAATTTTTACTAGGGGAAATAAATGTGAAGTTTGATGCCATCTGAGCTATCAGAAGAATTTATGACGTCTTAAGATAGAAGGCAAGTTTTTAGGTAGTAACATTCTTTGTTATGTATTTTCGATAATTGATGGTCACGGACTTAAACATTCTTCACTGTAATTGTATCTGTGCTTGTAAACTGAGCAAACACTGAGCAATCATCTGAAAATCTTATTTAGGCAGCAGGGTTCCAGACGAGTTTAATTATGCTCATTTTAATTTATGTAATTTAATTTCATTTTGGTAGGAGAAATACTTGTTAATTCACTTTTCTAGTTAGCAGTAGCTTCTAAAGCAAGCCTTACTGTTATAATTATGGGGAAAAAAGTCTTTGCGGGAGCCAGACAACATTTTCTGGTATGTGTCAAGACCTTTTTTCTGTTTAATATGTTAGAATTTGCATGATTTATTTTATCGCCTTTAGCATAAATAGTATTTCTGCCTAACTTCAGTGTTTTAGTCTATAGCAAGATATCGTTAGCTGTAGAATCCACACACGTCTGCAGTGCCAGAAGACAAATGGTGAACTTCTGTGTGTGTTTTCTTACAGATCCGGTAGTCTGGACTGTTTCAGTCATTGATAAAAAAGCAAAGAGAAGTTTCTTAGCATTTTTCATGGGTTCAAGAAGTTGCTTTCTAATAAGTCACTGTCTGTGTTGACTTTGTTAGCTGAGTAATCCTCAGGAATATTAGTAAAATATTGATGAAATAAATTTGAGGTGATAGCAAGTACCTGAAACTACAAAGACCATAAAAAGTAGTTTGAAAGCAAAGCTATGTGAAAGCTTCTGCAGAAGCTCTGATAACTTTGATGCCTGACTAACCTTTTGGCTTTTTTTTTTTATGTGAGAAAGTGGTTTTAAAGCTTTCATATGCTTCACTTAGGTAGGACTAGATGTAACTGTAGGTTTATTAATATTCAGCTGAAATCTTTGCATGAACTCTTTTAATTGTAGTAGTAAACTGCTGATAAAATTGACCTGAATAATTCTGTAGCTGTGATTTTGTTCATGCTGTGGAGGGCTGCAGGGATGTTTCAGCTCTGACAGAGCACTGTCTCTGTACTAACATTATTTCATGTACTGTTAATACAGATGGTTGGAAAGAGTGGGCTTGGGGAGTCAGCATTAAAATTGCCTTTGCACCTTTAATGTTGTTCCATGTGCATCTGCTTTATCACACAGCTTTGTATTTAACATCCACATGCTCTTTTCACACCTCCTTCATTGCACAGAATGGACAAAGTGTGCAAGCTCCAGGTCAGAGCTGACTTCTCTCAGTTCAGGGGTCAATGACCTGCCTTGCTTCCTAGTTACTCTGTGCTTTATGATGGAGATCACCACTGATCTTCTTTCTGAGCTTCATTTATGTTAAAATATGTATTTTCACAGCACATGAGAACCCCCGAAGGACACTATTTTTCCCTGTTTCATAGAAAGGACCTGAGACCTGGACTGAGAGTAATGTTAAAAGAAACCTCAAGTTTTGGTATCAAAAATGGCAACTTGAAAAATCCAAACCAGGATTTTTCTGGGCATTTACTAGTGTGTTATGTGGCATCAGTGGTCACAAGAGAGGGCATCCTACAGTATGCCTGACTGACAGTTCAGGAAGAGCACTAGACAGCAGCTGAAGGGTGAGCAGGCTTCAAACCAGGCCATCTCCAGTTGCACAGAACAGCACTAAGTGCTGAGCTGAGGACAGGACTACTCCACAGTTTGGAAATCAGACATCAGGATCACAGATGAGCCACTCAGAAAACATAGGATGCACACCAGAGACTGCTCTCTGCTGTGCTTTGTATGGATATGAGAAAAAAATAGGCCTTCCATAGCTTCACTTCAGAAGCTTCACTGAGGAAGTGAAGCCACTGGCTTTGGTCTTCCCATGCCTACCTCCAGGCCCCGAGTGTTCCTCAGCAGAACCTATTCCATCTATATATTTTTAAGCAAGAAAAACTCATGCTTGATATCTAAGTATGTAGCTAAGGATCTTTCTTATCTTTTACAGGATTGAGACTAACCATCTCAAAAGCCTCCTTGAGGATACCAATGTCATTCAGGTCTGGCAGCACAAGAGAGCATGAAACTAGTGACCAGTCAACTGGTCGTTCAGCTTCCCCACCAGTCCCAGAGTCTAGTGAGATTGAGGCTGAAGGCTTGATATTTTATCACATGGATCTTTATGGATCAAAGGATAGGTTTGATATCTTTCCTGAAGACCTATCTGGTCAAGGAGACAGATCTCGGGGGGATACAAGAAGGGAACCTGCACTGAGTAGTGAAAAATTTCCGCGCTCACAAGAAGCTGGATATGACTTGGAGAGGGAGGTTGCAGAGTTGGCTAAGATGTATGGACTTGATGAGGATAGAGAAAAAGAGCTTGAGCTTCTTGGAGGACATCTGGAGATGGTGGAGAGCAGACGGCCACCTGCTCACACAGAAAAAGCAGGATCACAAGGCTCCCTATATAATGCATCAAAAAGTAGCTCTCCAGTGAGAGATCAAAGTCAAAGCACAAAGCAACAGGGACTTCCTGGCGAGGCTTCTCAAGATGAAGATCAGAGCAAAGCCATAGCAGAGGATGAGGCTGAGAGCCACATATGGTCCAGAGAGGGGCTTAGCAGCAGTGCCATGTCAGATGAGTGGAACAGCCAGGCTGTCAGTGAGGAGGAGGAAGCGGCAAATGTTTTTTGTTCTACCTGCAAGATGCCAATCCGAGCTTTTGACAAACTCTTTGGTGAGCACAAAGATCACGAAGTGGCTCAGCTCTCCAGTGCCGTGGAAAGTGAAAAGGTAAGAGTAATACAATTGTACTGCAGTGCCTCTAAAACAGTGTTCAGACATACTAAGAATCACACTGGATGTTTTGGTAGGAGGAGATTCATAAAAACATGTGCAAGTTGGAAGAGCAGATTGCTCAGATGGAAAACTTTGCCAGTCACTTGGAGGAAATCTTCATCACTGTAGAGGTAAGAGTGTTTTTTCTTGGGCTAACTTTGTGGTACTGGGGTTAGAACAGTTTTGACAGTCAGTGTTCTGTTGTTAATGAGGTGAGTAACAGAGCACAGAGTTATCTTGGGGTTTGCCTAGACTGAGGTACTCAGGAAAAGTCATCCTAATGACTTTTTTAAGTGGGCTGGTAAAACCACATTAAGCATTTGCACAGACACTTGCTTTCAGAAATAATGTGGCCCCCACTCAGATTATCTTAGTTTTAAATGGCCAAGGACCTGTGATCTAACTAGTCCATCCAGAGTGTACCCCTTGTGTTCACTCAGTTTCATTTGCAGAAATGCCAGATACAGGCAAACCCTTGGACCAGCTGCACTGGGCTACAGCATCTCGAGGGTTGTGCTCCTGCTCGGCTGATGTCAACTTGGCCCCAGGGGAAGGGGCCCAGCTGGCAGCAAGTCAAACTGAAGCAGTAACTCAGGGCACCTACTGTCTTTTCTCTGCTGCATGTGGCACAGGAGGACATTGGTGCCTGAGCAGTGGGCAGCTGCTGACAATAAAGACTTGCCTGCTCCTTAAATCTTCCTTCCTAATGCTTTTTCCAGCAGCGAGTGAGGATACCAGCATTAGCTGCTCAGCTCCCCCAGCGCGAATCCATGGATCCCACTGGGTTGCCATGGTTTCTCTCATGGAAGGATGTGCTTGATTGTGTTGGTGGAAACACTTGTGAGATTATGCCTAGGATATATCCCTAGTTGGGCTCCCTGGGCTTAGGTTGGAGACAGTTGCCTTGCATCATTGTTTTTATTATAATTTCTGATGCTCTTATGTCTGGAACCAAATCCAGCACTCTCTTGTGCCTCAGTGGGGGTGAATGATTAGAATAAACCCCTAAAAATGCAAATTAGTCAAATTACATCGTCTGTGTACTGGCATTGTCTCCCTGGCAAGGAGAATTTTAGACAGACCTGAGTAAGATTTTTTCTCTGGCTGACCTACGGATCAGGCCTGACACCAAGGAACAAACTCGCAAATGCCTTGCAGGAAAACTTTGGGAGGCAGGAGCAGAATTTCGAGGTGCATTACAATGATGCAGTACAAGTGCTTGCTCAGAAGTATGAAGAACAGTTGGAAGCACTGGGGGAAGAGAAGAGGCAGAAGCTGGAAGCTTTATATGGGCAGCTGGTCCATTGTGGGGAACATCTCGACACCTGCAAGGAGCTGACAGATGCAACCCAGCAGCTATACCTGGAAAATGACAAAGCCAGTTTTATGAAGGTAAAAGAGTTTTAACTGGCACGGCCCCTTGCTGCTTGCAAGTAGTCTCCAGCTAGAAAGTCCCAAGTGGCTTTATTGCTAGAGAGCAATTGGGGTGCTTGGTCCATGGTGCTGTCACTGCTGCAGGTGCTTGGTGTGGTGGCGTTGACTTACTGGAGCAACACAATGGGGCCAAAATGCGGTAGTAGCAGCAGAAGTTTGTAACTTGGATGCTCAAGGATTTGTGAGTCTCACTGGAGTTCAGAGAGAAGATATCTCTCTAAAAAGCTTATCTCAGGAAACTCTGGAAGCACTTAGTGTTCATTGCCTCATGCAGGCTCAGCTCTCTTGCTCTATTCTGGGCTCACAGCAGGCAGGCTGATGCAACCACTTTGGAAGATGTTTCTTTTTCTTGCTCATTTTGTTGGAAAGTTCAGCTGAACAGGAGGCTCCAAGCGAAATAGATCAGGAGCTCCTGCAAAGTGATGGATGAATCCCACTGTTGAGGAGGTGTCAAGAAGTTATTTTTCTTTAGCAGGTAGAAAAATAATTGGAAGAAAATTAGAATTTTCACTGCTAATGAGTGATTGCTCTAATCTGAGCTGTCCTGTGACTCACGTGGGTGGGAGCACAGCCGCAGTAACTTCTGAACTGGACAGTAAACAAATCTCCTAACACCTCCAGTCTGCTCCAGTGGATCAGCTTGCTGTGTCACTCCAACCTCCTGAGTTCTTTGCATGAGCTGACTTTTCCTGTTCCTCTGCATCTCTGGAATAACCTTATTTTCTCCTTAGCTCGTAAACAGTTTTACATCACCCCTAGGAACCATTATTCACCCAAGAAGTGAATAGTTCTTAGTCATGAGAGCTCAGCTGTTTAAGTTTCTCCAGGGACTGTCTGTCTATCTTCCAGTAACGTGCAAGATTTCCTGTAGTGCAGATAATTTCACTAAGTTTTTTTCCCCAGCTGTTGCTGGGTTTTTTTTGTGAAGGACCTGTTGGCACTTTGGACAACTGAGGAAGGATACAGTTTAAAGTCTAGATGGGTAGACACACTGATCAGTGCCTGATATTGCACATTATCTTACTGTATATTCAGCCAAGATCTGTCCATTTGAATAGACAGGCACAGTTTTGTTCTCAGAGCTGGGTGAGAGCAAATCAGTTCACTCTAAGGGCTGCATTTAGGATAATTTATGTCAGACAGGTCAACATCATGATGTAGTCTGGACTAATGCAAGAAATGTATCTTTTCTGTCTTTAACACTCTCTTTTTTTTTTTTTCTACAGGCAGCAGTAACCATGGTTGACAGGTAGTACCACAGTCTGGGATTTTGTCACATTTATTCCTCGTAATTGGACCTGTTATTGGAGATACTTGCATGTTCTAGGCTCTGTTCAGGCACATAAACATTATCTAAGATACCAGAGCTATCAAAATCTTTAGTATTTTTGTTTTAGACTGCAGCAGGAAAAGTTGCTCTAATAAGTTTAACACTCAAAAGTAGTTTTGAGCCAATTTCAAAAACCCCAAAGGAGAGTTAGAGCATGAATAAATCACTGTTTTCAGCTTAGTCATAAGGAACTAATTCCAGTGACTGAGAAATAGGATTGCTAAAGATCTTGAAAGAAATGCTCTGGATACAAACCTGACTAAAACCAAGCTCCCTAAAGAGATTAGTAACAGGCTTATTTATGTGTTAATATAGAGAGGTATAAAGTCAAGCTGTGGGAGCTCAAAACAGATACTGAAAGATCTTGGAGCAGTTGGAAGAAGTTGTAAGGCACACTAAATCAACTGTGAAAAATATACATTTAAATTGACTGCCATCGTTTATGAAAACACAGAGAAAAGGTACCCCTTTGTTTCAAATCTACACCACCTAAACCACAAAGTCCTGAATTAGTAATAGTCATAAATTCAAATCCTGAAAGTCACAGAGGTATAGCTTGCTTCCCACAGAGGGGAGCTGGGGAAATCTCAGTCCCCTGCTCAGTGGGAGCAAAGTGTGCAGCAGCCAGCGCCACATGAGCAGGGCACACAAGGCGTGGTCCCTCAGTCCCAGCAGCATCCAGCTCTTTTGGCACCTTGGAGCACTGCTCTGGTGTATGGCAGTGTATCTCCAAGCAAAGGGCATGGGGAGGCTGAGCTCTGTACAACTATGAAAACAGTATTTTAAGGAATAGGTGTTATTTTAGCATTTGCTGTTCTTTTCCTCTAACCAATAGGTATCATAGAAAGGTATCTCCAACACTATGGTACTTCCAATTAGACATTTTTTTTTTCTACAATTACAGGCTGGAAGACTTCTTAAAGAAGGAAGTGGATTTAAAGCTTTCAACACAGCCCGACTTTGAAGAGCGGGTCATAGATTTCTCTGAAGTTGAACAACTAATGAACTCCATTAATACTATTCCAGGTACTCTTCTGATAACTATTTCAAACCTATTTATATTTTATTAAAGATATGTATGAAACAGAAGTTCATTACCTCTTTTAAAAGAGAACTGCAAACACAGAATTAGCTTCTCCCTAGTTTTTCCTCTAGGGTTCGGGTTGTTGGTTTTTTTTTTCCTATATATACAAAGACACTGGAAGTTTATTTTGGATATTTTTTTTTCAATTGTTTTCGGTATAAAATTACCAGAACTGTCACATTTGGCCTTCCCTGCCTTTGCTGGATGATTTCCTAGAAGACTCACAAAGACTACCCCTTTCTCTTGAGGGGACAGGCATGCTAAGTTGCTGATAACTTGGCTTACCTTGTAGTTGCTTGAACATATTAGAGAGGCACACCAGACTGCTTTAAACAACCTGCATGGCTTCTCCTGATAACCAGATTTCAGTCGCTTGTTCCTCTGCTATTTAGCAAACATTTTTCCTGTTATCCACAGGAAACAGAGCAAAACCCAAACAAATTTCTAATAATTAAAAAAATAAAAATACTAAATATTTTAAATCTTTTCTGGCACACCACAAATGGTCAGAAAGAACAATGTGCATTTGTTATGCCCATCCATTGTGTTTTCTTAAAGGAAGATAGCATTTGCTACTTGTTTGCTCGTGCCACTAACCCCATGTTGTAGAGGTTTTCCCTCACCTTTCCTCCAGAGGCTCCCTCAGCCCCTGGGCTGGTCCACGGCAGTGCTGTGTGTGTCAGAGGTTGCTCCTGCAGGGCCGTACTAGCTGGCTGGGGAACAGCAGCCCTCAGAGGCAGGGGAGGCCAAGTTTACAGGGAAGGGTTAGGCTGAGGCTTATGTATTTTGTCATTTTGATTTTGATCTGAAGCGAGACCAGTTCATACATCAGTGACCGGATTGTTATCTGCAACTATTTACAGGGGCAGGTCCTAACTTTTCTCCATGTGGGAGGAATATGACCCTACTCAGTGCCTAGGCTTTGTGCAGACACCTTTGTGAGAGGAGAGGTGTTTGCCTGTGAACAACATACCATGCTTATATATTCAAAAACTGACCTGTTTTCCCCTCTGCAGCTCCTTGTGCCCCTGTGATCAGTCCTCAGGCTCCCAATGCAGCAACTGGCACCTCACTGAGAGTTTGCTGGGGCCTCTTCTCAGATGACACTGTTGAGTGCTACCAACTGTGCTATAAACCAGTGAGCAACGACGGGCACAATGGTGAACAAGCAGGTAAGGAGGCCTGGACCCAAGGGGACACCTCAGCCCTCCACTGGCAAAACCAGCTGGTTCCACAGTCCCTCTGGACTTGCTGTGGCAACCAGTGCACTTTCTGTGCACTCTCTCTGCTGTCATATCTGCCATCCCATTTCCTGCCTTTGGCTTTGTTGCTTTTCCCCTGCCAGGTCTGCCATGCTGCTGGCTGCAGCAGGACCCATCACAGGAGCAAAGACAGGACAGGGCAGCAGCTGGGATAGCAGGAGTGGGAAGGGGACAGAGGATGAAGTCAGGTCTCAGCAGTAGCATTTCCTTTCCTGAAGGGTGGGCACTGTGTTAGACACACATGCGCTGCACCCACTGCAAAGCACAATATTTTTAGAGAGCAAATCATCATATTACTGGCATGCTCACTGAAACCCCCCCAGTCATTTTACAGTTTATCTCAGTACTAATAATAGGCTGTAACTCCCCATCACCCACATGCACAAAAAAAAAAAAAACACAAAACCACAGAACCATTCTAATATGTTCCAGCCTTGTGACAAAACTGCCTTTGCTAATAATATTCTTGCAGAACCTTTTATTGAAAACACCCAGTCACTTCTCCTGTAAAACTGGAAGCCCATAGAGTGCCAAATGGCCAGTTCAGAAAGAAAAGCAGAACCTATCCAATTTTTATAAGAAGAATGAGAAATGAGTAGTGAAATAGTTTCAGCTGTTGTTCCACTGCTGGGATGAGCTGACCAGACAGCATCCCTGGAGTGGGAACGTGCAGGATCTTTTTAGAAAAAATTCAGTGTCAGGTGGGTGACCTTTCTTTCTGGGTTTTTTTCTGAGTGATGTGGTTCCTTTGGAAGCTGATGCATTATCTGATTTATGCCTCCTTAGAGGAAGGCATGGTGAAACAGCCTGACAGCTAATCAAAGGGTATGGAGCACAAGGAGCTCTCTGGAACTCAGCACACAAAACAAGGCATCTCAACTCCATTATTTGAAGCAGCTTTGGGGAAGAGTGGGTAACTGTGTAAAGGCACTGCAAATGCTTTGTTGTTTTCATTTCAGAGCATACCCTAAAAGTCAAAGAAACATACTGCACCATCACTAATTTGTTGCCGAATACACAATATGAATTTTGGGTCAGTGCTTTAAATGCCTCTGGTATCAGTCCACCAAGTGAAAGAGCAGTTTATGTAACAGGTAAAAATATTTTATTCATACAGCTATGTGAGCTTCGTAGTGAAATACACAGTTATCTCTGATTTTTTTTGCCACTAATGCTTTTTAGGCATTTTGTTTCTTCTGATAGAAGTCTACTGACTGCATGGGAGTTTCCTACTTTTATTTGGAGAGCTATGAGGCCAATTGTCCCTGTTTTAGAGTTTTAGAGACAAAATAACTTATTTAAATGCAAACATGTGAAAGAGCTGGGAATAAGGCTCGTCTCCCAGTTCTGCCAGGTGGCTGCTAGCCCTCCTTTTACTGGCCTGTTGGTATTTTGTGGATTCATCTGCTACCCTGCCCTTGGTAACAACAGTTCAGTCAAGCACATTTTGTGAAACCCTGACATCAAATTGAGCAAGTCAGAGTGAGACCTTCAAGCGCTCATTCCAGATGTCTGTGACATCTTAGAGCAGAGAAGAGATGCACCTTTATGATAAAGATAAAACCAATGACAGAAAGAAAACGGTTGTATAATCAGGCTCTATGTATGTTACTTCTCTGGTTAATTATCTTGGGACCTTTATAGTCCAAATTAAGTCTTTGAATAGTACTGTTAATCGCCCTACCTGCTGCTTATTGTCCATTAGGGAAGCAGGTCTCTTTAACTATATAGTATTAGTAAACAACTTTCTTTTATTTTTTAAGTCTTCAAAGCATGTTTGTTGCAAACACCTTCAAACAAAAGCTTAGAATTGTTCTTTTGTCTACTTTTTAGCTCCTTCACCACCTACCATAAAGAGTAAAAAGATCCGAAGCTGTGAAAATGCAGCACTGGTCTGCTGGGAATCTAGAGACATTAACCCTGTTGATTCTTACATGGTTGAATTGTCCAAGCTGACAGATGAAGAAAATGGCAATATGATTACTGAGTGAGTCACTGATCTATTGATTCCATGACTTGTAGAGATGAAACCATTTCAAGTCATGTGACATCAGGCAACACTAAGAAAGCACCCATGACCCTTTGGTGAATTCACCTTTATAAACATTCTTCTTAGTAAAATTAATTGTATAAATGTTAATTGAAAATGACTATACAGGGTATGGGGAAAAGGCAGAATCAAATGCAAAAATCTGCATAGTCTGTCACAGAGTGTCTCTTGCCCCTGCTATTGACAACTGCTCAAGGTAGTGTTGTTGATGGGTTACAAGAGAAGCTGATGGTGTAATTTCTTCTTTGTTGTTCAAAAAAATAGTCTCAAAGGCCTACCTTTGTTCTATACCCTATCATTTTCCATGGATTTATTTTCTGTAGATCTATTGTTGGGATTCCTAACTGTGAAGTCCTAATTCACCTCCAGCCAATGCAAAGCTATCGCATCTGTGTTAGAGCCTTAAACCTGGGTGGTTCCAGTGAAAGAAGTGAACCTGTCCTGATACACACCACAGGTACTGTACAGCTCGGAACAACTCCGCCAGCCTATTGTAGCATCTATTGTCTCAACAGAAGGATTCCTGCTGGTTTCAGTGGCCTCTGGATCAGGTCCTAATCTCCTCCATCTAATTACACACCTGGTAACCTTTTAGGAATGAAAAAACCCCACTTTTTGTAACAGTAAGTGCATTGCTTTAGCTCTGTAATTTAAAAATATTTCTGTCCGGTACATTTGATACTCGAAGGTTACTAATTTCTAAACATTTTAAAAGACAGTATCCACCCAACACCCCCAGATGTTTCCAGCTTGCCAAGTACTGACACACCAATGAAGAAAGTTGTAGTGTGATTTTACTTTACTTCAGAGATTACCTTGTAATGATACTGCCTGCTGGAAAGCATGGCTGAGACAGTCAGTCAGCATTTTCCAGAGTCATTTGGATATGCAAAAATCTTCCTCTGTATATATTAGAACGTCTCCAGCTTGGCTGGGGAAGCTCTGAGGGCTGGTTCCCTTTATTCGTCAGGAAAAAGACAGTCCAGCTTTCAGCTGGAAGCTTTGCTTTTGGTAACTGACATGGCATTATTATCTCTGTTCTGAGTGCCACACTGGGCAAGGATTAACGTTCTCCCGCAAAGGGAAGTTGGAAGCTCTTTCCCTTCCAACCATCTAATCAAAGCTCATTTTAATGACTTATAGGCAGACACCTGCTTTCATCTTCACCACTGCTATAATGACACTGCAACTTCACTGGGGTGTCTCAAAGCTCCCACATCACTCACAGATGCATTCACACCATACCCGTGTCTCTTCTGCCCTTACCTTCTGTGAGAGATTTGCAAATTGTGCTTATTCAGCAAGCTGACCACACACCCATTAATCTGCGAAAGGCTACGGTAAGAAACTTGTCTGCTACACATCAGTGACACCATGGAAAAGGAATGAACATTCTTCAATCCCTGGAGAGGAAGACTGTCATTGTGTTACCATTGTTTGTGTGTATTTCAACTGCTTAAATCAAACTCAATATTTGAAATTTGCCAATTCTGCTTGCACAGCATGTGTTTGTTTTCAGCAGCACATGCCTGTAATTGCCCTGTCATTGTTTGTATTGTATTTGCATTGAAGTAACTTGCAGTTTGATTATCATGATTTCATTTGGGATTAGCATGGAGAGATTTATCTTCTCTGAGTCTACATTATGCAAACAGCTGATGCAAATTGATCTGTCAGCTGCAAGCACTCACCTCCAACACTGGGAATGACCTTTGATTCTTACTTACTGGAGTGGATTCACAAACACCAACTACAAACAGCAGCTGTGACGCACATGGCTGCTCATCAGAGCGCAGTGCATCAGACCTGCTTTGTGAAGTCTCCAAAGGGAGAAAGGCAGAAGTACTTTTATCCTGGGCTGCCTTAGCTGCCTTACCCCTCTGAGGGCTGATCTGATGAGGAGGTGCTGAAGAATGAGGGATGCTGCTCTACCTTTGTAGACATCCCTTCCTTTCAAACTGTGCCCAGCATTCATGTGGAAGAGTGAAGCCATGGAGAGGCCTTTAAGCCCTCCTTCTCCTTTCAGTGATTAGAAATAGATTACTTCAGCTCTGAGGAAGATGTCTTGAAATCAGACAGTCCATTGCAGGGTGGACCCCTCATGTTTGAATAGCTACTCCCTGTGAAATGCCTGCAGCTTTGAGCCCTGGCTGGGTTCAAAACCAGGTTAAGGCCCCCTTCCTGCTTTTCACAAGGCTGTAACTAAATAGTGTTAGTCTGTAAAACACCAATCTATCTGAAAAATTCCAAATGGACAACCTTGTCCTTTCAGTGTCAGCCACAAATGCCTTCCAGAGCACTGGTTAATCTTTTTGTGGATCCAAACATTTCACCACACCCTTGCTGCAAATCCTAATGCCATAAGGAGTTGCATTCTCTCTTGCAGGCACCTACTTCTGCCTTAACGAGGATACAGCCCATCCTTTACTGGCGATTCTAGATGATGGATTTACAATTGCATGTGACGAACTGGAAAACCCAGAGTGTGATCTGCCCGTCTATGATAACAGCTTTACAAGGTATACAGAAGAACTTCAGCTGCAACTAATGCATGTGGTTTGTGGCTGCTTTGCCCACAGCACACCCCTACCTTGAATTTAAATCCACTGCTGGCATTGCAGCTCTCACCTTCAAGCCAGGCAACAACCAGCTAAAACTTTCAGACTGTATGCGTGTGTATAATGTATAGTGGGGTTTTTTTTCCATCTTGGTTTTTGCATAAGTGACTATGGTTGTCTTCAGTTTTAGACAACTGCAAACATCTTTGTTGGTCCTTTTAAAATATGGATTACTCATCTTTTAGAAAATCAGATTTATTTTAAGGTATTTCAAGTTGGGCTCCTAAGACCAGTTTGAATGGTAGGCTTTCCCCATAGTTTCTTGGAGAGTAAAATTCCACATCCATTTGTCCAGGCCCCACCATAGTTTCAGTGGGGTTGCTGCTCCTGAGCATCAATACTGAACTCCCTGTGCCATGCTTGCTCTTTTCTGAGAATTTCTAGGGTGACTAATACATATTATCTACAACATCTCCATTTGCATGATGTGTGCACTGACTTCTATTAAATTCCAAAACTTTCTTCCCATTTAATTCTTTACAGAGCCCAACCCCCCCAGAAAAATGTCAAGAAAAAAAAGAAATCAAACCCCATATACTCTTAATACAGCACTAGTGGGATTAAAAAAAAAAAAAAAAGGAGGGTTATTAGGTTCTCTTTTAATTACAGTGATCCATCACTTGCACATTTCCAAGATTTGAGGAGCTGCTCCTCTCTGCTGGCTCTTGGTCCCTCTCTCCTGCCCCTTCCTCTGCAAGCTGCCAAGGTGATAGAGCCTTGCACAGAATGTGCAGGAGGCTCTGCCCATCCTTTCTTGGTCTCAGTTTCACACGTGGAGATTTGGGGGCTGTTTTTATACAGCTCTGTCCAATGCAAACCACCAAACACTATGTGAAACCTGTTCACTACAGCAAATACTACAGAATAGGAAAAAACCCTATTGGTGCTTTGGGCACCTGACCCTTTTCTTTGAAAGAGGCTTGTGTAGTTCAAAGCACAGCTGGTCTTTTGGTTTTGGGGTTTTTTTTAAATAGATGCCAGGAAGTGTGTAATGGGGGCTTTCAGCAGCTCTCATTGATTTTGTGAGTTTAAATCTCTCTCTAGCTGCTTTTTGGAACTTAATCATCACTTGGAAATTAACGCAAGTTCATAAAGAGGATTACAGATGCAGCCAGCCACAATTATGTACAGACCTGCTTACGCATGTATGGCACATTGAGCTGAATTTGAGCAGGTATTTAAGTGCCAAAGCAAATGCTAAGGAAAGAAGGGGGATCTGAATACTTACCTCTTGCTGAAAGATTTAGCTGATACTATTTGGGCCTACTGATTTTACTTTCAAAAAAAACATTAGGCCCTTTGCCTTTGAAATAAGGTTTAGTTTGCTGAAATGCATGTTTCTGGTCAGAACCATGGAGACAGCATATAACCAGGACAGGCATTTGCAGACACAGAATAATACAAGCCCACAACTTAGTCCCTCCATGGAAATGCAATGTTACTAAAGGCCTCAACAGAAAAGAGCCAGAAGGTAGATGATTCTCTTCATTAAAGTCACCGTGATAAACCTAAATGGGATTTCATCTCGCTTCACACAGGGTGCTTTTATGTTTCACATAAACAGCCAGAGCTGGCACTCATCTCATTCTGAACTCTGAGGCTGAGTTTTTGATGCCACTGTGAACTTTCAGAACCCTCTTTCATGCTGAAAAAGCTCCCAGGCTCAAATGACTAACATGCACGCTACAAGGAAATTACATTGCAAACTCTTCTTTGTGCAGTTTGTGTGATCTCTGAAAGGCTAATGTGTTTCCTAACCACAGCAGCTCCTATGGTCTGACTCAGGTTTGCCTTAGTGGCTTTGCAACTCTCATTACTATGGTAATATTTTGTTCACAGATGTTTACCCATCCATTTTTTATCATTCCTTTTCCTTCTCAAGCTGTAGCAACACACAGCCTCTCTGAGTCCTGATTTCAGCAGCCTTCAAGCTCTTCCCAAGACATCTACATGCACTGCCAATGAACTGTACACTTGCTTTAAGTGATTGCTGCTGAGGTGGCACAGAGTACAGCTATCTTGCTGTGCATGCCCGTCCTTGCACATCAGGCCCTCCAAATGCTGAGTGCAGCTCTTGCGCAGCATTCCCCAGGGGTAGAGGAGCTGAGTGTCTGCCAGCAACATCCTTTGCCTTTGTAATTTACAACTTTAGACAACCCTACCACAGAAACATACAGGGTGTGTGTGACTCCCCATCCAAAACTGAAGGTGTGTTTTTGAAACCTGCTATCTCCTGTGATGAAGCCATGAAGCAATGACATACACAGTATACTTTTCCTGAGGAAAAGCTGGGGTGTATTTTTACAGGATTTATGTCGCCCTCTTAAATCAAATTAAGGTGTTTCAGCAGCATTTTGTGTAGGTTATTTAGCCCAAATTTCTTGCTACAGAACCTGTGTTTTTGCAGACTTGCATCTTCAAAGCACCCAGCTGCTTTGACTCAGACTGGGTGTCTCTGTGGTATATTGTCTTTGTCTGTCTCTCCTACGCATCAAGAGTTATCTTCTACATGGTTCCCATTATCATAAAGGCTAGGAACCACAGTCTAGTGTTAAAACTTTCATGGCCCAGGTATCTAAGCAAATTTTAAGCTCTCCTACCATGTTCAATTCTTGCTGGTCTCTCCAAACACAGCACAGGCAGGTCTCCTCCTCCCCAACTGCCCCAGGAGTTTCATTCTGTCACAGTACTCAGTTCCTGATGGTGAGTGACATTTAAAGCTCTGGGCTGTTTGGGAAGAAAATACAAAATCTGCTGGGGTTCACCAGAGCACTCTCTTTTCTAGCAAGTAATAACTCTCCCAGAAAGCCCAGGCAGCATAGGATGCTGTTGTTCCCCCTATTTCTGAAAGCACTCGTTTATACAAAGCTACCCACAGGCATAAACAGGGTAGGTATCACAAAGACACCTGCAGGTTTTGTCAGGTCCTCAGCACGTGGATTTTGTAGTAGTCAAAGCCCCAGGCTGTACTGCTAAGGAGACAGCAGAAGTGGCCTTTGTTTACTGGTATGTAATGTCCAGGTACATTAAGTACCTAACCATTGCAAACAGCACTGCAGAGTCCCTGCCAAAGCCATATTCCTGTCTCCCACAGGTGTATTGGGATCTTGGGCAGTCTGATCCCATTTCCAGGAAAGCATTACTGGGAGGTGGAAGCTGAGGAAGATACAGAGTACAGAATCGGCGTGGCTTTTGAAAACACTCCAAGACATGGTTATCTGGGGGCAAACAACTCATCCTGGTGCATGAGGCATATCATCACACCATCGAGGTAAGGGCTGTGGAGGCTACAGGTCTCCAACAGGAACACCTCCTACATGTACACCTGCAGGCAGAGCCGCAGAAAGCTCCTACTTGCAGGGGGCAGCCAGAGATTTTATATCAAAGCCCAGACCAAGCACTTAACCAGGGGCCTCTGACATTCCACTGTTGATACTGTGAACTGGTGTTGGAAGGGTACTGGAACCTTTAAGCAAATCCTCCTGCTAAATGACATTCTCACACTGAAATAGGCAGTCCCAGGAGCAAATCTGAATAAAATCTGTACAGAAGTTAGCTGTAAAGGCCTTGTTTTAGGTCACCAAAATCCCAGTGGGAGGACAGAGAATAATAAATTCATGTAACCTAGAAACGATGTATCTGGCTAAACCAGTTGTATGCAACTGTTCTCACTTCTCTCCTACCTCTGGAGGTACCCAACAGCCACACCTGCATGCAGAACTGCCACAGCTCCCCTTGCACCTCAGCTGAACCTGCTGGCTCTCCCCCAGACACCCCTGTATTGTATGCCTTTGACTCCCACCTGAGATTTGGGCACCCTGTGAAGCATCCAGGAGCAAGAAAACAAGTCACACCCCCAGGCATCACCGAGCATTGCCTACTGCCTGGCTGAATGGCTCAGCCTGCAGGGGTTGCCAGGGTGCTGCTGGCTCCCCTTGAACACGCAGGGTCAGTAAGTGGTAAGGACGGCGTGGCATGGGCCCACACCCGCCTGTCCGCTGCCTGCTGGTACACGAGGAGGTTTTAATGCCGCTCAGTTGGCTGGAGCACACGCTCCTCCCCAGGCGCCTGCAGCTCTCGCTCCCCAGCAGTTGGCCAGCTGCACAGCCAGAATCCTCAGCATACGCCTCCCACACAGCAAGAAACGCTGCTTAATGATGGAGACCAAACCCACTAAAGCTAATGACTCTCCCATACACCGCAGGCAGGCTAATTTGACTTCCTTGCTGTGTTGAGCTCAGAGGTACACTGAGGTTTGATCTCATTCTTCTGGAGCAATGAGCATGGACTTCAGAGAGAAGAGGGAGTTGGGCCATTGCTCAGTTTGAGTCACTGTCATATCCATTTCTGCAGGGAAATTTTCGCAGGTTTGAGTGATGTGGGTGGAGGAGGTGGTTAGTGAAGAAGCTGGCCCTTACAAAATGCCAGATAACTCACTTGAGCTGAACAAATCTTCTCATTTCTGCTCAGAAAGCACACGTTCCCATAGAAGTCTCATATTTTTGGTTGCGGCGTGCCACACTAGGGAGAGCTGTTTGAGTAACTGTTAAAGGACCTCAGCATTACTCCCAACAGTGACTACACAGTGAAGAAAAGGGCTGCCCTCATGACAAAGCTGCCTACTTAGAGCACCTTCCTGGCCTCTGGTAATCCACAGTCCAGGAATCACAATCAGAAAACGTCACCCTCTAGTAAACGAGCACAAATACAAGCTTCTCCATCGACACCACCCTGGCTGAGCAGGGTCTTGCAGGAAAAGCAGCCAGAAATGTCATTTAGCGGGTGGGACTGGGGCAGTAACCACGGGGCACAAGGAGGGCTGGGACTGGGAGCAGGAAGCGTACCCTGGAACACGCCTGAGCTCACAGCCAGGGTACACTCAGGTTTTGTCTGTGTTTCTTGCCTACAGGCACAAGTATGAATTCCTGCACAGTGGGATGACACCAGACATCAGAATTACTATCCCCCCGCGAAGGACTGGCATTCTGCTGGACTATGAGAACTGCAGACTATCATTTTTCAATGCAGAGATTGCCCAGCACCTTTACACATTCACCTTGCACTTCCAGCATTACGTCCACCCCTGCTTTGCTTTGGAAACACCGGGTATCTTACAGATACACACTGGAATTGCAATACCCCCGTGGACTGCCCTCCCATAACCCGTGTTCTGCAGCTACATCTACAGGTAACCTGCACTGAGCAATGCCATCTTTCAGCATTAACTGCTCCATCACGCTCCCCACAAACCAGCTGTCTCCCAAGAGAGCAGAGCAACCCTGCCCAAACCAGCTGCCAGGCCTGAGCTCTTAGAACAGTTTCTGTCCTCTTAGTCAGGAGCTTAGCAGAAAACCATTATGGTCACAAGATCCATCAGCATCTCAGCACCCTCCAGTTAGAAATGGACACCATCCTTCTCAGAGGTGACACTGACACCAAGCAGCAGTGGCAGCTGGATTACTGGTTCCCCCAGTACCCATGTGGTGCCTAGGGAACTCCCCTGTTCCAGAGCAATCATTAATTCCACTCTTGCATCTGCTGAAGAGCTAAAAATTCAAAGAAAAACAAAAATAGCAAAAGGCATAATCACTGTACAGCTGCTAGACAGAGCTGAAAACACTCCAACCATGAAGCTGATCTCACAATCAAGCATTCTTGTTGCTACATGAAGTCTGTGACACAAGATAATCAAATACGCCTCCCTTGTGTGTGAACTGTTAGCGCCTACCATACACAGTGAGGCTTTTTGAAATACCCAAGCATGCACTACAGTTTCAAATATTAAAAGACATTTTTACAGAATGCCCATGTTCCTCATTCATTCATCCAGGGAAAAAACAAACCAAAGCCTTTTGCAGTGCTTGACTGCCCCTGTAGAAACCTAAAGCATCATTTTTAGCCTGTTCTGGCCATGCTCACCTCCACCTGGGTGTACCTCCACACACAGATCTGTTCTCCCCCTCCGCACTGAAGAACTCTCACTCCTGATGCCGTGCCCCCGTCTGGCCCAGCACTCAGCCGAAAGATCTTTGTATAGGCTTCACTTCCAGACACCAGACAATCAGGCACTGCCTGTCAAGCAGGTTTGCCTAGCTCTAAACAGCCTCATTTGTGTATGTCAAAACTGCCTGAATTCAATCGAGAGTCATGAACTGAGAAGCTTTTCCACAGATTTATTGCACATTCATTTAAAAAAAAAAAATCATTGGTTCATGTTTCCATTCTAGGGGTTAGTCAGAACAGGTGGTGGCCTTTACAAAATACAGGATCTCTACAAATAAACAGAGCCTGGTAAAAATGAAAAAATCTGACATAGAACCATGTGCCAAAAGCTTGTCTGTTTTTCCCCCAAACAGCTTAAAAAAATCCTCCCCAAACCAGGCTTTGCAGAAACCACAAAAACAGGAGCTGAATATGTGATTACAGCAGTGATTAGTACCATCTTCTTTTGGATACCTATTTGTTTTGCAAGCCTCAAAAGAAGATGGGTTTAGCAACTCTGACCCTGACCTATGTAAGTACAGGTCATTTCTTAGCCCACCAGGAATCCACAGATTTCTGGTGCTGCCAGGGTTGTTACGGTCACTGCCAGACCTCCTGTAAGGCAGACTCTGTTGCTACGTCCTGCAGTGACCACAACCCGTGTCCACCAGAAACGGGCAACTCGGCCAGCAGCCACTGCCAGTGCAGGGGGCAGGAGGTGGCTGGGTGAGCCCTGCTGACATTAGCAAGGCCACCCCAGAGAACAGCAGCTGAAGTGCACAGTTCCTCTTCCAGGGAATGAACGGGTGAGAAAGCACCATTCTTTGCTTAAAAACCGTATGCCTTGATTCCAGGTCCAACATCCACCCACTGGAACATGTTTTACCTTTATCTGCCAAAAAACTGAGCGCCACACTCAAGTAGATATCTGAAAGAGTAAAACAGTATCAGAGCAGAGGTACAAGGATGCCTGAACCTCCCAACCAAGCCTTTAATGCAGCAAGACTGCTGGTGAACCCAGTGACCGATGAAAGCAGATGATTCTGTTGTGAAGGTCCACTGTTCCCCACCAACAGCTTCCACCTGTGTTTAAGTGTTTAAACCATACCTGTATCCTGGGGCTGGGATTCGCCGTTCACCTCAGATGATACAAGAAACCAATCCACAATATTTTTCAACTGGTAAACTGCCCTGGGAGTCCCTGGGACTTCACAACCCTCTCACATGACTGCTGCAGGGATGGATTTTATGACCCAAATGCAAGGTGCTTGGACACCCTGGGAGTGAGACTCTGCAGGTACCAAACAGCTCTGTCATTACGTTGCCAGCTTGATGGATCTGTTGGAAAAGGCAGGCCTGATGGCTGAGTATGGAGCAGCCTGCTCGGCAGAATATGGCTTTGTTGCCAGACATGGTACAGGACAACTAAGGCAGCAACAGCACTATCTAAAAAAAAAAAAGAACAAATAAGCAATAATTGGCTACTAGGTTAAAAACAATATGGAAAATGAGTTTGCATGTTTCTGTTTAATAAAAGCTTCAGCTGTCAGCAATAACCCAAGCACTTCCTCCCTCAGGAATCCCAATCCTGTCACTTATTTATATAGCAAAGGAAAAGGCATGAACAACCTAAATTTTTTAAAACCAGCTGTCACTGTGAATTACCTTTACATAAACCCTTTACAGGGAGGCCACCACTTCTACTACAGGGTCTATTGATCAGACCAGTCCAGCACTCAAGCTGCAAGCTGCCATCGACCTCATCATTCTGTGTAAGTCACCAGATGGGGGGAAGTGCTGCACATCTGTACCGCTGTAAGGGCCAAACCCTGCACAGAACTGGGAGCTCTATTTGAAAGTAAAAAGAGAGTCTCCTACTGAAGCTAAGGGGTGTTAACAGGTCCAGCATAGTACCCCAGAGCAAACTAATACCAAATATATTCGGTTTATCTGGAATCCTAGGTATAAGGACTCATCTTGGAGAACTGTGTTGATCTGTCGATCTGAGAACCATTTCTTTGTACTGAAAGGTGTCTCAGATGAGGCAAAACCACTTATCTCCGGCCTGTCTACAGGAACTCTGGCTCACTGCTGAACTAGATCATGTGAAAGGACAACAGTCAGTTAAAAACAGCATCGCAGAATCATCTAAGTTGGAAAAGACTTTAAAGATCATCCAGTCCAACCACTGACCTCACACTGACGGTTCCCAACTACATCAGATCCCTCAATGCTGGGTCAACCCAACTGTTAAACCCCTCCATGGTTGGGGAGTCCCCCCCTGCCCTGGGCAGCCCATTCCAACACCCAACAACCCCTCCTGCAAAGAAATGCTTCCTAATATCTAGTCTAAAATGAGCTGTTGTCTCTGACAGCAAATTAAGTGCTGTGAGAGTGCTGTGTTCTTCCTGGCATCTGGTGGTGTTTTTCTTCCTGTTCCTTCTCTGTGCATTTACTGACACTCAGCAAAATTACCTTCTGTGGAGGACAGGAGCTCATGCCTAAAGTTCTGGTACTGGCCACCTGAATCACTGAGGCTGCCCTGATTTGCAGCAGTGACCTGTGCGTCCCTGCAGAACTTGCAGCAGCAGGAACTGCCGAGGGATGGGCCACTCCCAGCCATGCCTCACACAGCACCTAACTGGGGGCTTTCCAGGGCTGCCCAAAGGCCCTTGGGCTTAGAAGGAGTTACCCTCAAACCGCTTCAGGATGAGCAAAAAGATCACTTTTTCCAATTCCCTTCTGTTCTCTCTTAAGTATCAGTACACGTTGTTGCCACTGGAGGGCATCACACGAAACCTTTCACTAGGCTGCACCAGTTAACAGACAGGTTTACACAAACCATCCGTGGCTTACGTTACAGTTTCCAAACTGGTTACCATAATCCTTCAGGACGTCCAGCGTCCCTCCACACCCAGTCCTGGAGCCGGGAACAAAGGGACGCACGTGTTGCCTGTGAGCAAAACCACACAGGTGAGATAATGTCAAAAGCACAAATACAACAACAGGCAACACAACAGCCCTGCAGTACAGGTTAGCGTGTCCAATTCAAACCAAACACATCCGTCTTCTACAGGAAGACTTCAACTTGCTCCCTCTAATTGCCATTAAAGCCTTGTAGGCAGATGAAGTAGGTCCTGACTTTATCTCACAGGCAGGCCTTGTTCTTCCACCATTTAATTTAGGAGGATAGTATCAGTGGAGTCAATAAAGTATCACTGGCCCCACTTTCTTAGTCCTCCAGATCAATCTCTGTTAGAAACTCCTAGGAAGTCTCAGGAACTGACTGTGCTCTCCTAAAGGACCCTACAGAGCCTAACCACCGTGCCTGCCCCAAAAGTGACCAGTATCACCCATTAGCATGCACGGCAAAGCAGCCAGGGACCAGGCAAAGGTAAGGCTCTGCCTCTGGCTCAGCTCAGCACCGGGCCTGCGCTGAGTCACTGCACAGTTCTGGGACAGCTGAAGACACAACACACGTTTTCTGTGAAATTTTCTCTCTGCTGCATTTATGCTGGTGTGCTCAACTGCCAGTATATACTGGGACTCGGCTGTCCTGCCCCCAGCTTTTCCAAGCAGGCTTATGTTTTAAGCTCTACTTGTTCTGCAAGGCCACGAACTGCTTCATAAAATGGCTGTAAGGGGCTGTGCTCTCTGCCAAAAGGATGGCCGTTCCACAGCTGGAGCTGAATTTTTCTGCAGAGGCAAAGCTGTGGCTTAAACAAAGCCCCAGAGAGGCTGCAGCCGCCAAGACCCGGGACTCACGCTACGTCCTAAACCCAAAGGCACTGGCGGCTCCTCTTCGGGCAGGGCCGGTGGCGGCTGCAGGCGCTGCCCGAGCCAACCCGCAGGC